TTTCTTGGACAGTAGGGACCTGCCAATCCCTACCTATGGCAGTCCCTACTGACGGCCAACTCACTCACTCCCTCTCACTCCTTTTATCTTATTCTCCCCCATTTTCTTTTCTATTATTTTCTCTCTTTTTTCTAGCATGCCAAGCGTAAAGTGGCCGTTAAGGCCCTTTTCTAGCCTCTTCCTCTTAGTTTTGGCCCTCCCTATGCCCAAGGTGCAATCCGTTATTTCTCGACCTGCAATAATGGCCTTCCCATGCCCATGGAAGCCTCCTTTTACTCCTACATTTCTCCCACAATGGTCCCTCCCACTCCGATTTTCTCCCGGAGGGCTATTTTTCACATGGGGTCTTATTTGACTCTATTTTCTTAAGGGAGGCTGATCCGAGATTTTTCGGATTACTCCCATGCCTCCCACTTCAGTTTTCTTTTGCTTTTCCTTTTCCTTTTGGCCTTCCCATTTGTCACCACCAGTACTTGCACTAGTGGTGCTAATATTCTTGGCCCTCAAGATGTCGATCTTGATGGTGCACCTTGCATTTATTATTTTTCCCTCATGCGGTGCCGCCGTTTCTTCTTGGGACTTTCACATGTCCCCGCCACTTGTCCCGTCGGTGGTCCCCGACACTTTGTCCCGTCGGTGGTCCCCGACACTTAGTCCCGCCGATGGTCCCTCATACTTAGTCGCGTCAGCGGTCCCCGACACTTAGTCYCGTCAACGGTCCYYAAGACATTTCGCCCCGGACGCCATTATTTTTACTTAGTCCCACGTGGCCCCGGGTGCCTTTCCCCGAGGTGTCCCATGCCCCTTGGGCGTCTTGTCRCCCCATAGCGACCCCTCTCCTTAGTCTTTCCTTGCGCCTTGTGCGTGCCGATCTCTTTCGGTCGTGGGCCTCTGCTCCGAGGCTCCCGTAGGTGGCCTCCATGTTGGCCCCTCATTTCCCGACTTCCTGCGGCCTGTGGACCGCCCATCTCTTGGCTTCCTCATTCCCTTATTGCTGTCGAGCTGCAATTGCTAGTTCAAAGGAGCCCTTTGGCCTTAGTCTTATTGCATTTCGATGGCCCTCCCGGCCTCCTGCTATGTTCTATGTGCCCCTGTTCTGGCGCTCGCTTGCTTGCCGTCGCTAGTTCTTTCCTCCTGTGGTTCTCTCCTCAGGGCATCACTCCCTTCTGCGGCCTAATCCACTTGGACCAGGTTGCTCATTTCTGTCATAGCTCTGCCTCTTTATCTTTTCCTCATTTGAGAGGACTTCCTCTTCAATCAACTCTGTATACCCGACAGGGCAGCCCATAATTCTTTCAACTTCAGTAACATGAAGCAAACGGGGCTCTCCTCGCTTCATGTTCTTAACTACAGGTATGCTGGCTTTATTCCCAGGATGACAATTTGTTGTCATAACGCAATTGGTTTTCTCATTCTATGCCTTGGCTTTGTTGATAACAAATTGTAGGCAAGTTTTTCGGATGCGATTCAATGTCAGGCATTTGCTCCAAAAGGGAGATGCTCGTCCAGTACAACCGCCGCCTTTGCTGTGGTGATACCCACTTCGAATCAGTGAGCCCAGGCACAACTCCCCTTAAGTGCTTCGTAATCTCAAATTTATCTTCCCATTTAATTGGGAAAACATTCTCGAGCAGACACCATTTTGATTTCGCCTCATTCATTACTCTTTAGGGTCATAAAAAAATAATCCACTTTCCGATCCGTGCAATCCATGTTCTTCCGTTATTCTTTCCTCAGTCTCATGCTTAGCCAGTTCCCATGTATTTTTTCCATGTCATTTTGCCCAGCTTATGTGCGTCATCCTCATCCGTCCTTTCTCGTATCCAGGCTTTAAAATGCGCGTTACTCCGTCCCTCTTATTCATATCTGTCTTCTGGCCTCTTGCCAGACCTCTCTCATACTCATGCAAAGTCCATTATGCCTGTATCTCTTTTCTGGGCGTCTTGCCAGACTTTTCCTTAGGTCTACGCAAGGCCAATTTCTCATATCTTTCTTTTCTGAACATCCTGCCAGGCCTTCTCTCAAACCCATGCTAGGTGAAATACTCATCCATTTCTCTCCTGGACATCTTGCCAAGTCTCTTCTCAAGCTCATGCGGAGTCATTCACACATCTTTTCCTCAGCTGGACACCTTGCCGGGCCTTTTCTCAAGCTCATGCAACGTCAATTTCTCACCCGTTTTGCCAGGCCTTTTCTCAAGTCTGCGCAAAGTCAATTACTCATCCATTCTTTTCTTCTGCACATCTTGCCAGGCTTTTTCTCAAGTCTGCGCAAAGTCAATTACTCATTCATTCTTTTCTTCTGGACATCTTGCCAGGCCTTTTCTCAAGCTCATGTGATGTTAATTATTCATCCGTTTCTCTTCTGGACATCTTGCCAGGCTTTTTCTCAAGCCTGCGCAAAGTCAATTACTCATCCATCCTTACGCTCATGGTATCCTTCTCTTTTGCACGTTTTTTCTTCGGTAGATGGCACACCTTCCCCCCACTCAAAATGCGATGTCCCCATCGCACGACTAGTTCTCACTCGGAGGTATGCAGACCTTGGCCCACCAACTGAGTAGACGGATGCCGGCCCATCAGCCCCAAAAAGGAAGGGTGATCGGTCTTCCCCCTGCTGATAACTCACCTCATCCCCTACTCCAGTCTGACCTTTTGCTGCTTACGAGACGGTCGTCATCATTGAGGTACCACCCCACATCTGAAAGGTAGGTCCAGTCCAAGCCTCCCAAGACCCTATCTTGCCGTAAGTGCTTTCTCGCGAATCGTTCCTCCCGAGCGGTGTTTTTTTGGATCCGGCCTCTTCCTTTCAAGTGAGTTGGGGCTCTCTATTAGTCTGCGAGTGCAGTTACGAAAACCTCGCGGTTAGTCCCGGAACGATTGTAATGATCCGGCAGGGCGGTGTCACTCGCCCTGTGGTGGTTGCGGCTTCCACCCGGTACCACGCCCGATTCCTCCCTCTGGACAATGCTGCTCAACTTAACGCGAGCGGTCGTGGTCCATTCCAAACGGTCGTGCCGCCCCTCTACGACATGGCGTGTGGTTGGGGAGAAAAAATGAGACTTAGGAAAAAGAATGGCTCTCTCGCCCGTTTGGCACCATGCCCTTGACGTTTAGGTTTCAACATGAATGATAGGCCTCCTACCGATGCGGCCGCGGGTCACCCTCCTTTTGAGGTCCTGCCGCGCGATGCCAGATTGAAGCTCACCCATAGACTATATACGTGGGGTCGGCCTACTTAGGCCACGGATAGATGGTTCAAAATTCGAACCGTTGGCTTCCCGTGAAAGGACAGGCCAACAGGTAGAAATCAAAATTAGAAAACTAAATAATAATAATAAAAATAAAAATAATAGTAATAACCACAGGAAAAGGAAAGGGAGGAAATCAAAGAGAGAGGTCCTTTGGTCCTTCAACCCTTATTCTTTCTTATGAGGAGCAGGTTGCGCTGAGACTTTTCCCTTAGCGGGTAGAGGTCTTGGGGTCGCGATGCAGGCATTGCTATCCCCCTTATGTTGAGACCTGAGACTAGAAAAAAAAGAAAGCTCAATCTCTTGCTATTTCCATGGTCGGCCCGACGACCTTACATCAAGTTGCCTAGGGTCCCCTGGCTATGCAATGCAGTATTCAATCTTCAAACACTCAATCCCCTGCTATTTCCAAGGCTGATTCTCATGGCTGGTCCGACAGCCTTTCATCAACAAGGCCACCCACATGGCCGGTCTGGCGGTCATTTTCTCAATAGCCATTTTCTCAAGACTGCCCCTTCCGCCCATTCACTCCTCAATTCTCTCATTCCTCAGCACCCAATCTCTGGGACCGTCCCAACGGTCCCTGCCCTTCTCGGCTTTAAGGCTCCGCCTTCTTTATCATGTCCTTCTCATTCACATCTTTCTTCCGCCCCCTTGGCTATTTCAGCGGCCGACCCACCGGCCTTGTCCATCTCTTTCGTCCATCCCTTTGGCTATTTGAATGACCGATCCATCGGCCTTTTCCATCTCTTCCATTCATCCCATTGACTATTTCAATGACCGACCCACCTGCCTTTTCCATTTCTCTCATTGCTCATTCCAACACACTCTCAATCAACCTTTCTCAATCAAATATGCAGGGGACCCCAGTGCCTATTTCAAAAGGAATAACCCTTGTCGGGGGCTATTCCCGAACAACCTTGTTAGGGTCGTTCTTTTCCATTCTCAAGTCGGACAGCCTGGTTAGGACCATTCCTTTCCATTCTCAAGTCGAACAGCCTGGTTAGCGCCATTCCTTTCCATTCTCAAGTCGAACAGCCTGGTTAGGGCCATTCCTTTCCATTCTCAAGTCGAACAGCCTGGTTAGGGCCATTCCTTTCCATTCTCAAGTCGAACAGCCTGGTTAGAGCCATTCCTTTCCATTCTCAATGATAGTGCCCGAGCGGGTGGGCCTCGAGGTTACGGATCCCATTTCTGTCTTGGAGGTTAGAAGGTGGCCATCTCATCTTTTGCGTGCTGTTCTCTTTCTTCCTTCTCTCACAGTAATGTACTATCCATTCCATTTCTCATAGTAATGTACCATCCATGCGTACATCCGACTTAGCGTCTAGTACTCGAGTTGGGGCTCGCGACCCCAAGCAGCACTAGCCCACCCGACCATTCATCCATAACAAAAGACAAAGGCCCCTTCTCCCTACCGTCGGATCTATAGGCCTGTAATTCTTAAAAGCCCCTGCGACATTCGTCGGATCGATCCTTAAGATGAACCGCCTCCCAAATAGGTAGGCCTGGAAGGTCTCAAGGCAATGCAGGATGGCTAGGACTTCCTTCTTGAATTGCGAGTACCGCCGTTCTGCGGAGTTCAGGGTTCTACTTTCGAACCTAATCGGCCTCTCTTTTCCTCCCTCATCCCTTTGAATCAACACACCTCCTACGGCCAAAGGTCCTCCATCCGTCTCTAAGACGAAGGGTCGTCCCACTTCGTCATTAAAACAAGGCGCGAACAGGGCGACTGTCTCAGATGTCAATATGTCCTTCAGCCTTTGGACAGCTCCTTCTCGCTCCTCCGTCCAATCCATGGTTCCTTCTTTCCTGATCATAGCCCGGATAGGCTCAACAATCTTGGCAAAGTTCTTAATGAAGATCCTCCAGAAGCCGACTACGCCTACGAATGCCCTTACCTCCGTCGTCGTGCGCAGCGGTGTCGGCCACTGTGATATCTTGTCGGTCTTTGCCGGATCCGGCTTCCTGCCGTAAGCACCGCAACGAAATCCTAGTATAGTTACCTCCGGTACTGCTAGATACTCTTCGGTCCACTAGCCGTAATGTTGTATACTAGGAACTGGCGGAGTAAGTCCTTGATGTCCTGCAGGTGGTCCCACACAAAACGTCGGATCCCTGGTTGGACCTCCGTCTCGTCCTTCTCCTTCGCACCTTTGATCAGATTGTTATCGATGTAAGGCTCACATTTTTCTGGGAACATGTCCCCGGCCACGACGAGCATCCTGCGTTGCGCTTCGGCCACCGCGTTGGTGAATCCCATAGGGGTGACTTGCATCTGTAGTTGGCCTAGGGGGTGTGCATAGCGGTGTATGGCCTGTCCCGAACATCCAATGGAAGTTGGTCATACCCTGAGTACAGATCTATCAGGGAGTAAATGCTCCAACCGGCGTGCGATTTTGCTAATAAGTCAGCCTGAGGTAGCGAGCCCGCATCCTGGATGATTACCGCATTCAACTTCTGCAGGTCCGGAATCCACCTTAGTGTCTTGTTAGGCTTCCGAAAGACGAACCACCGATTTGCGTATGGCGATGTCGTAGGTTCTGCATCGAAGGAGTCCATCTTTGCTCGGAGGAGGTCTGTTACTTCTCCTGCTATCCCAAATTCATAGGATGGCCCCTTGTCATTCCAACACTCATGTTCTACCGTGTGGATTCAGACCGGAGGGATCGACTTCGCATCCAGTCGTCCCTTCTGGTGATCACTAAAGGCAAATGCCAGGTGAAACTCCTGACAGGTCCTTCTGATCAGGCGGGTTTCTTCTTCCGTTAAGAACCCGTCTATCCCTATCTTCATTGTGTCAGCTACCTCATCTGGTATCCGATGTCCCTCCGTTGCCCTTCTTTCTCGGATCACTCGAAGGACCTCTTCCTCCTTCTCCATAGCCTCTTCCTTTAATGTCTCTAGTAGGATCGAGACCGGTCTTGCTTTCTTCCCTACCGGCTTGTACTTTCGAACACTTCCTTCCGGGATCTTTCTCCTAAAAAATGAACAGTCGGAATCGCCCCCGTCGCCTCTACGATTCGTGGCTGAATACTAACTAGTTTCCCATTCAGGCAATATCCCTTTTGCACCTCTCTTTCGAACTTGGCCAAGGCTGCCGAATCCACTCCTACCTTGTGGTATCTGAGGGCCTTTATGAGTTGTAATAGATCGGGGATCTCGAGTGCGATTTCTGGCAAGTCTATGCGTACTTCTTTCCGTTTGGGCAGACTAGCACCAAGTTCGACCTCTGACTCCTTTTCCGCTACCATAACACCTAGGACTTCGTCCTCCTACCTCCTCTTCTTCTGGGGCAGGCCCATCTTGATCCACTCCTCCTTGTTAAATGCTTCCTCAATCATGATTTCTACCCTTTCTCTCATACCCTCCATCCGTGCGAAAGCCCCTTTCCGCGTGCTATCCTCGAACGACGGCGACCATGTTGCCAATTTCCCCTTCAGGGGGTCTCCTCCCGTTCCAAGGAGTCGGAGGAGCTCTCCCCGGCCGGTCACAGGGTCCTCTATGTCTACCATGTATGAGCCATCGTGCAAGTGCATGCCTATCATCTCCACGTTCGCGCACCACAGTCTCCCGAGGATTATGCCGTGGTCCATTTCCTCCATTACGTCATCCGCTGAAACGACCAGATCGATTCCCTGACCCCTGCCTTTACAGCACACTTCGTGACGTACCCAGCGAACGAGATTTCCCCGCCAGCTCCCCGGATGCTCCCTGTTACTTCCTTGTTTACCGTACATTCTGTGATCGTTGCGAAATCTCTTCTTATGAGAGTGATCTCTGCTCCCCCGTCTACTAATGCGTCGGTATGATGACTCCCGATCTGGATTTTCAGTTTCCCTACGGGAAGCGCATGAAAGCTAAGCTTCGTCCCGGGTGGTGATCTCATGACTTCGCCGCCCTCTCGGTCGGGCAAGCTCAAACGAATGTCTGCAAAGGCTTTTTCGAGATCCTCCAAGTCCTCGTGACTCCTCTGAAGGTTAGCCACTTCTTGCAGAGCTTCCTCCTCCCTCTCCCCTTCTGGTAATTCGGGGTTGTCGCCTATTTCTACTCGCCTCCGAGTCAACAGTTGTCTGAGCCCTTTGAGCAACCTAGGGCTAGCCTGCAGCATGGTATGAAAAAACACCGACACCATGGTTCCTAGTAACTTGCTAATGGTGTCGTCGAGCTCAAACAAGGTTAAGATCATGATTTGATACCGAAACTTCTTCTTCGCAACGGTAACCTTGTCCGCAGGCTCCTCTTCCCTAGGCTTCCCATAGACTTTCTCTGGTTCCTCGGCCTCAGGCTCTGCCTGGGGTTCAGAGCTTCTGGCGACCTCCTCCACAATGGTGTCACGGTTAATCCTTCTCCCGGTCGTTTCCAGTCAAGTGGTTGCGTTCACCCTATCACGTCCGTCGCTTTCCAAAATAAAGTTGGTCTGCGGCCCGCGCCCCCGGAGTTGATCCCAGATGATCTCGCCCACCGGTTCGGCTTCTACGGCTGTTATTTCTAACCCGTTGAGCATGATAATGACTCGCCGCATCCCTCCTAGTGAGTTCCAGTTCGCCCGTTCCCCTTGTGGTCCAAATATCTCCCCCTTTAATGACCTGGTACACCTTTTCAGAATATCATGGTTGAGCTTTGGGCACGCGCGCACATAATGTCCTATTGCGGTACAATACTTGCATTGCTCGTTAGCAGGATCTCTCCGTCCGAATCCCCGGTTGGCTACACCTGGCGGAACCACATCTTCCTGAAGAGGGAGGGCGGGTCGGGATACTTGCGCCTGCATAACCAGTAGCGCGCCTTCCATCCTTTCAATTTTATTGTCGACCCCGTGCACCCGTTCATGTAGACTTTCAATCCCCTTCTTTACCTTGTCGCCCGCCCTACCGGTCAGATCTATGATCTCTCCTTCCTTGAGCAAGGCCAACGTTTCTGTTACTACCGTTTTCTCAGCCARATCCGTTACCGTGMTAAAATCAACATCCCGCRTGKTTACGAACTTGCTCGTMTGTTGGTAAGCTGACAGRATCTTGTCTTTGTCGAACTCGGAGAACTGCCTGAGGAAATATTTGCTCATTATCCGGTCCGTGACCCCGGGGATCCTTAGTGCTACTAGAGTAAATTCTCGTAGGAAATCATTGTAGATTGCGAAGTTCTTCCTCTGAACTGCCGCTAGGTCGGCCGCCGTTGCCATTTTCTCTGCCGCTAGGTACTTCCTCATCATCACATCCCGGGTCTCCTCCCAAGACCGGCTTGCGGCTACAATGGCCATTATGTCCCGTCCTAGGCTTAACGACACATGCTGTCCTAGATGGCCCATATTTTCCTCCTCGGTCCACTTTAGTAACGCAGCTAGGTTCTCTTAGTTGATCAGGAATTCCGTGATGTTTGCTCCATCGAAAGTCAGCTTTTTCTTGGTGTCTGCCAGATAGCCTTGGTTCTTGTTCAGTGCTCGTGTAAGGGATGATACTATCTTCCTAAGGCCGCCTTCGGAGCTACTGGCCTCGCCTGCCATGCTGGTATCTGGCCCTTCCTTGCTGGCTTTCTGCCCCCCTCTAGTCTTTGTCATTCCTTCCGGGTCGAACCAACCCAACACCCTTTCTCCGAGGCTCCAGAGCCCTTCGCATCCTCGCGACGCCGCTGGCAAGGTCGGCAGACCGCTAACCCTACTGTCTGTGGCTAAGGGGTTCGTCGCCTTCTCTGCCTCCATTCCCGACGAGTTCTCTCTCTCTTTCCTTCTTTTGCTCGGCGTTCCCCCACGGTCACTACCCTTGTCCCCTTGCCCAGTTCCGCCCTGACTGGTTTTCCGTTCGTCCCGCGGTACCTCCTGCAGAGAGCCTTCCTCGTTCTCGATCATCATTGCCTCACTTAACCTTGCCTTGCATTCCGCGGTCCTTTTATCTATTTCTGCTAGTTTGCGCCTCACGTCCGTGACCCTTACTTTCTTAGACACGGCTTCCTTTGAGTTCCCGGGGCTCCCCCTATCTTTATTCCTGCCCTCCTTGTTTTCCTGGGTCCCCTGTCTGCTTCCCTCGACTTTTCCCGAGCTCTCTCCGGAGGATATTTCCTTCCGGTTCCCTTTGGTGCCATCCGGATTTGCTGATTCCCTGTCCTTCTGCCCTTCCTTGCTTTGCTCGACACTGCCTCCTAAGCCTGGTCCTCCCTCGTTTTCATGATTATCCGTCTCATCCTTCGTTGCCATACTTGCCTACTTCTGCACACCCAAAGGATCCCCCCGAACAAACGCAGTGCAAGGCATTTAGGTTCCCTAGGTTCCAATACTGTTGGTTTATCCTTTTACTTCGTAATTAGGCTTTTCCGCATTCCCATTTTCTGATGGCTTCCTTAATATGGAGCCACGTCCGGCTCTGTTGCCTCACCGAGCTAAGGGTGTGACTTAGCTTCCCTTATCACCAGCTTGTTTAGAGCGCCCTTATTCCGTTGGTCGGTGCGTAGGGGTCCGGGTTGGGCAACCTGCTGGAAAAGGTCTTCCTGCGTCTGGCGGTTATTGATCATCGGGGTCTGAGGTCCCCTCCTTTCCTATTTCTGTCGGTGGCCTTCGAACGTAGCGGACTGTGCTTGATTTGCCCTACTGGCTTGCCTGCAGGTGCTAGTCTCGTTCCCGCCTTCGTGGCCCTTCTGGTTCGGTAGGCTCCTCGAATAGTTGAGCCACCCCCGTTAAATAATTCTCCCCTATCTCGATTTCCCTTAGGATTATGCGTTCGCACCCCGTCCAGTCTAGCCGGGGCACACAAAACATCAGGATGCGGATGACTTCTAGTAATTCGTGGGCCCTGTTTCCCCAGAACGGCCCGTGCTCCACAGCGACATCGTAGAACATCCCAATGGTAGGGGAGGGAAAGTGGCCTGCCCAGACTATCGCTGAGTCTGCCAGCTCCCGCGCCCTTGCGAGGCTTCCGCACTCGGCATCTCAGCGGTGTGGTCGGTGCCCTGAACTCCCTCCAACCTCCCATTTCCACCCGGGTAAGTAAGCCCACGTTCCTCCTTCCCTTGACCGATTGTCCTATCCGGGTCAACGTCCGGGTGGCCCTTTGAAAGACCGGTGCCAGCTCGTGACCTTGTGCTATCTCTACCCCCAACGAGTGCCAGCCGATCTCAAGCAGATACATGGTCCCGGTAACTTCCAGATTGGAGAACAGATCGTCTCCAGGACCTCGGTTGAGTCTCATCCCTGTCCACCGACATTCTACCAACATGAAGGCGGCGTCCCTTCCCAAAGTCACGGCCTGCCATTCTGTGTCGAACCCCCGATAGGTAGAACTTGGCGTTCCATTCGCACACGGGGCTGGCGTTCCACTCGCTCATGTCTTGCTACCATTGTTACCTTAGCGATTCCCTGCATAGTCCGCCCACCTACTGTCTCCCTTACCCTTCGTGTTTTCATTTCTCTTTTCTAGTTCCAACTGTCCCTCTATACCCCCGGGAGCAGTAGCCTCCTCTGGCTGTTCGTACAGCCGGTAGAGATCATCTATGTAGGTCGCGCCCCGACCTACCTCTCGTCGGATGACTCTGCACATCGTCTCATCGCTTATTTGTGGGACTCGTGGCCTAGCATTTACCGCTGCTCATAGAATGCAAAGCACCTCGCGCCTTGTTCGTCCCCGAAAGGCCCCATCTCTAGGAAGGCCCGATAGTATTCTCGACACATTAATGCTTCGTCAAGATTTAGCCTAGTTACGGCAATCTCCGCCCGCTCCACTCGCTCTATGCGTCCCATTCGTCTTAGCAGGAAGGGTGGTAGACTCGTCCGTATGACCTCATTTGGCAGCTCGAAAGCCCCCGCCGCGGCGACTCTTACCTCTGCCGTTACGTCATCTCGTACCGTGTCTGCAAACTCAAACCCCTCCCGCCAGGTTATTTGCCATGCCCCTTCGAACATTCGCACAGGGTCATCCCCGGAAGCCAAAGCAATCCCAAAGGTCCGCCATCCCTCTTCCGACAGGTGTAAGGATACCGTCGCCTGTACACGCCCGGGGAGGTTCAAGTCTACGCCCCCGAACTCCCCTCTCGCACACCATTCCAGCTCCACTTCTAGGTACACCGTATCTTCCACCAACTCTACCCCCACCCAGTCCATTATTGGATTGCTTACCGCATTTCTTGATGGCAAGCTTATTTCGACCCTGCCTTCTGATATTCTTGGTGGCAGGATCCCACGAGGTCTATCCTCCCAGAACGTCATTCCCCGGGCCATCTCGTAATGTCGCCTTTCCTGCTTTCTTAGTCCGATTGCTGCACCCACTGAGATTCCATGCCTTTCGTGTTTTAGTCTTTCAACCCTCCCTACTTATCGTACACTGGTTCTTGCCGCTATCCTCGTCTCATACACGTTCAATTCTACTCCCCCCCCCTTTTCCAATTGCTGCCACTTCCCCCTTGTTTCGATCCTTATGCACCATCTACGGCCTAATGTACACACACCCCTTCTTATGTTACACCTCAATTCACAAACATCCTCCATACTCGGGCCTTTTCGCGGTGTTCGATCCCTTGGCCTCATTCAGTCGAACCACAATACCTCAAATAGTTTAAAAACATCGTCTACGCCGGAGGGCGCGGCCGCCGCCTCCCGACTAACTATGGCGTCCCAAGACTCCGCCTCTACCTCTAGGCGGTCATACCTGCCTATTCTTAGGACGATGACGACTTCCTCGGCTTTATCTCCGTAGAAGGGCCCATATTTCAATGAGAGCCTATACAACTCCTCAGTCAGCCAGGCACACTCTATATGCACCTTTCTCATGGAGTCGGCCACTTCTAAAATGTGCTCAAACCCCCAAACCACTCGGCTATGAATTCCGGTACCCAAGCCGTTATCCGTAGACTTGGAGGCTTCAGTTCCTTCCATCCTCCCATCACAACTCTGCTACTAACTTCGTCCCATCCCTCATTGGCAAACAACTTGCCTTCCTTTCGGGTTCGGGCCTCTGCATCCCCTAGAAGCCACATCGGGTCCTGTCCCATTGCTAGCATGGTGCAAAACAGGTGCCATCGATCCTCGGAAAGGACAATCGTTCCAACTGACTCTACCTTGCCTTCTGCTATATCATCCCAACCTTCCTCTTCCCTTATCGGGTTCCAAATCCGCTCTATCCATACATATGACAAGTCCCGGGCAACCTCAAACCCAATCCAGTCGCACGTGGTTCCTCTCCACCCGTTCCCTGTTGGTATAAGCATTTCTATTCCTCCTCTGAGTCGTCGTGGTTCTCAGACTTTGAAGGTGTATTCCATCATCCTTTCTTCTCTAGTCATCTTTCCCTTACCTGCACAATACGAGGCCACTCGTCCTTCCTAAGTTAAGTTTCCCCACCCCTCTTAGAAGTCCCAGTCCTCTATCTCTTCATCTTCGTCTTCATCACTGAAGTCGTCCTCCTCGTCGTATATCAACTCCCTTACCCCATCTAGAAACGTCTCCCCTATTGCCACATTCTTGTAGACTATCCCCCAATGCACAGCGCTAGGGACAAAGATATTGTCTATGCTAAGGCCGTTTAGTATCTCGGCCAGCTCCTCTGCCAAGTTCCCCTCGAACGGTCCCATCTCTACTGATAACCGAAAAAAATCTTGCCTAGCGCATTGGTATAGCCCGAGGTTCGTCATGGACTGGCATATTCGCACTAGCCTGCTCCGAGTTCCGAAAACCGCATCCACTAGGAAGGGGGGCAGCACACATCGCATGGTTCTTACGGGTCGCCTCATGCTTCCTCTATCCCCAAGTTCCACCCGTACGTCTACCTTTTCCATTTCCATTTCCCTCCGTTGACATGCAGCCCACACAACCTCTGCTTCTGCCTTCCTAAACAACTCGTCCGGCGTATTCCCGAGTGCCAACTCTATGATCATAGCTTTCTCCCCATCTTGCGACAAGTAGACCCACCCGCGGGCTTCCGCTGTCCCTCGGTATTCCAAATCCATTAAACTTGGCGACAACCTCGTCAAGCTGACATTGGTCCATACCGTTTCTATCCAAAGAAAAGCATCCCCTCCTTGCAGCATTACCGTTTGATATGATGGTTCAAGGTCCGTCCACGTTCCATTTTCCGGAAGGACAACCGACACTCCTTCCTTTACATCTACTGGCATTTCCGGGCCGCTAGTATAGATCGGGGAAGGCAACCATCGCGCCATCTTGTTTTCGGCACCCGACACCTGTTTTCAGAAAAAGGCACCAACCGATCCTTTTGGTCAGGTCAACCCTTGTCCTAGATGAGAATTATTTCAGACCCCTCATCAAGGTCTCCCTATTTTACCTCCCCATTCCTAAGTACCTCCTTCCCATAATTCCCTCGGTCGGCCATCCCTTTGCCCACATTCTTTCTCTTGGTTCCATTCCAACTGACCTCTATCCTTCTTCCTTCCAATCATCTCTCACTCGTGCGGACTTAGATGGGGGGAGGGATAGACTCAGAAATATGTCCCGTCCAACAATCCGAACTAGATCAATTTTTACAGAGAGGGAACACATATAAAAAAAAATCAGGCAACCTCACATACGGGCCGATCATATCCTCACCGGCCATCCCCAATATGGTCTCAAGCGCAGCTCAACCGTCGCGAGCGCGGTACCCAGGTCTCGACAAGGCATTCGCCCTTTCCTCCTTACCCAGAATACCCCATCCCGTCTTGCCGCTTTGCACATCCATACCGACACCGAGGGTTACCTCGCTTCCATCGGTCCGACAAGAATCAGCCTTTCCCAAAACCATGCTACGAGAGGCTACTAATCGCCTCCGAGGCTCCGTCTTTGTCCGCATGCAGTGGTACTCCATCCGCCAGCCAATAGGCTAAGCCCCGCCTGAGGAGATTTCACACCCCGTCCAGCAGATCATCGAGCCGAAAACCGTCACCGCTCGAACGAGAATGCTACTAATCAACCGCCGTGACGAACTCCCGTCCGACAGCTCGGTGGCCTGACCTCCACATACGAACACACGGCAACCTACAAAAGAGAACGACGTTTCGCAACCCGCACTGGCCTGTGCAGACCAATCCTTTCCTTTCGAAAGGCAAGACACTCAAATCCCATCATGCAAGCACAAGTCCCAAGTGGGACACACATAGGACAAGTGTCATTCCCTTGGTGCACCCAGCGCTTCCTACCCATAACTCACAAATTTTCTCTCTGGACAATGAGTGCCACTACCCCTACTTTCATACATAGTGGTTGGTTCCTTCTCGTGAGAATCTTCAAGGGTGAGCTAGTTTTCCTTGGAGTCTAGCACCTCCCTTCATTTCCCTTCTCTTCACTTGTCTGTCCTTTCATAGGGTAGGATTGTTCTTTCTTGATGACCCGTTGTGTTCATATTGGTTCCTCCAATCATTAAAAAGGTGCAAAGTGCATGAGCCCCCTGGGCTCAAAAAAGAAGGGGAAAGCACCCATTCGGTCAGATCACTCCGCCATGGGATTTTCATTGGAACCTGGCCTAAGCCAAGCACCAACCGCCTGCCAGGTAACTGGAGCCCTTCTTTCAAACGAAGAGGAAGGGTCGACCTGCGACTTGCCCAAGGCTTCCCCCGACTGGCAAACACCAGCACCTGACGAAGGAGGGCTAGAGCCATTCCTCAAAGAAACGGTTGATCTAGTGCATAGCATGCATGCTATACCTCCAGGTCTGGCCATGCCATGCGCCTAGCCACCCTCAAATCTGATTTTTCACAAGGGAAAGAGCAAACAAAGTCCATTTTCCTTATTTTGGGTTGTGTACACGTCAATGCGTCGGGCGCCCCCGTCGGAATCGCAAGGGTCAGTTTAACCCCATGCCTGTCACCTCCACCATTTTAGTAGGGCAACCCGATAGACTTTCGAGCCTTAGTCGACCCCACTGCGGGTCCCAGTTGGCTCGGCCCGCCCACGCTCATGCTCGGGGCGCGGGCTGTTCGTCCCGAGGTCACCCCCACCTAGTGCTTTGAGATGGATGGGGGTGGGCCATCGCGCGAAGAGCTTTGACATTGGGGATGTAGCTCAGCCCTCACGCCAGGTGGTAGTCTCGCTGGTTGTTCTGCAACGCTGATTATTTTTGCTTCGTTGTTGTGTTCTCATGCAATTGCTCCTTCCAATACGCAGGCAGTCCAATGATTCTTTGAGCGTCTCTCTTCTCTTGTGCGTAGGCTAAGCGACATCCTTAGGCCAAGCACCATTTCCCTAAGCAATGTGGCTATATGGCGTCACTGGGGTGTGGCGGAGCCGTCCTCCCCCTCGCCTCTACTCATCCATCGGGTCTCTCAATTTGCTGTTTTCCTTATTGAAGTGGGCCCCTTAGTCTTTTTGGGGTCCTCATATGCATGCACGCATAACATCACAATTTCCTTGGTAAGATTGCACTCTCAATCACACTTCCAAGTCTCAAGCGCAAAACTCATTCTCATGGGTTGGCACTATGTCAAGGGGGGTCCCATAGCCCCTTCGCCCCCTTTTCCTTTTCCTCTTGATGCCCAAGTCCTCTCGCCCCTATCCCGCTCAACGCATTTCTAGCCATTACTCACCTGCACAATCCCACACAAGCAAGAAGATCCATACAATGTCCCCCGATAGGGTTCAACACATCGCCCTTCCCACATGCCTATCCTTTCCATGCTCTTTGGCTGTGCTTTGTTCCCTTTTTGTTGTTCAATCAGCCCATCCTCTTCTCATAGTCATGCAGTCGAGGAAATGGTTGAGTCGAACTGACCTCTCTCTCAACATATGCTTCCTTCCGGATCCCGCCCTTCTCCCTCTTTTTCATACGTTTTTTTTTTTGCCTTCTTGGTGGCACAAGGGACCAACTATCCTCCCCTTGTCCTCTTTCTCCACAAAGTGAGGTCTGATTTCGGTCACCGTCCGGACCCTGGCAATGTTTCCAAGTAAGGGGAGAAGGGTTAGTCTTATGCCAAGTGAGGGAACGAGAGAGAGAGAGAGAGAGAGAGAGAGAGAGAGAGAGAGAGAGAGAGAACAAGAAGAACTCTTAATCAATTCAGCTCCCCGTAACAGCAACCAAACGTCGATCACCCGTCCCATAGTGAGAGATTGAATAAGTATATTTTGGAATAACATGACAATGAGAAGCTAGACAAATGGAAAACACATACTCATAGGGAAGGGGATCATCTAAACAAGATCCGAAACATCATATCAAACATGAACTTTTGACAAGGAGAGGTTAGACTAGTGGAAGCACATGCACAAAGAGGAGAGACGAACCAAGTAGAAATCCAGATCATGGTCTTGACAAGAAGTGGCTAGACTAATGGAAGCACATGCACAAAGAGAAGAGACCAACTAAGAAAAGATCCGGAACATCTCATCAAACATGAAATTGACAATGAGAGACTAGACTATCGGAAAGCACATGCACAAAGAGAAGAGACTAACTAAGTAAAGATCCGAAACATGAACTTTGACAAAGAGAGGCTAGACCAGTGCAAGCATATGCACAAGGAGAAGTGATCAACAAGGTGAGGATCCGGAACACCATATCAAACATAAACTTAACAATGAGAGATTAGACTAGTGGAAAACACATGCATAAAGGAGAAGAGTTCAACAAAGTAAACAATCCGGAACATGAACTTGGCAATGAAGACTAGACTAGTGGAAAGCACATGCACAATGAGTAGAGATTAACAAGGTAAAGATCCAGAACATAAACTTGACAATGGGAAACAGGACTAATGGAAAGCATATGCACAATGAGTAGAGATCAACAAGGAAAAGATTCAGAACATGAACTTGACAATTAGAGACTAGACTAGTGGAAGCACATGCACAAAGGAGAAAAGTTCAACAAAGTAAAAGATCCGGAACATGAACTTGACAATGAAGGATTAGATTAGTGGAAAGCACATGCATAAAGGAGAAGAGTTCAACAAAGTAAAAGATCCCAAACATGAACTTGGCAATAAAGACTAGACTAGTGGAAAGCACATGCACAATGAGTAGAGATCAACAAGGTAAAGATCCGGAACATGAACTTGACAATGAGAGACTAGACTGTTGGAAAGCATATGCACAATCAGTAGAGATCAACAAGGAAAAGATCTGGAACATGAACTTAACAATGAGAGACTAGGCTAGTGGAAAGCAGATGCACAATGAGTAAAGATCACCAAGGTAAAGATCTGGAACATGAACTTGACAATTAGAGACTAGACTAGTGGAAGCACATGCACAAAGGAGAAGAGTTCAACAAAGTTAAAGATCCGGAACATAAACTTGACAATGAAGGATTAGACTAGTGGAAAGCACATGCATAAAGGAGAAGAGTTCAACATCGTAAAAGATCCGGAACATGGACTTGACAATGAAGACTAGACTAGTGGAAGCACATGCACAATGAGTAGAGAT